GCTCCTGGTTCCTGGCTTCAAACTGGCCCTTGCCCAGCTGAGATGGCCAATTGTAAGCAAGCCAGTGGATGGAAAGAAAGATCTCTCTTTTTCAGTTTCTCTGTGTCTTTCTTTCTCAATAACTCTATTTAAAACAAATAAGTCTTACAAAACAGAATAAAAATTCACTAACAAATGGCCGAAGTTATTAAGAGACAGGGGTGGGGAGAAGAGAAGTCAGCTGACCCTCTGGAAAAATCCTAGGTCTGAAATGCAGGTCCTCCACTGCAGGTTCCTAGAGCCCAGCCATACCAGGACCACACAGTGCAGGCCACCAAGACAGATGAACAGCTAAGGGGGTGACACCAGGCAGAACCATGCTGAGGATCCAAGGTCTCCTGCTGACAGGCTGGAAAGCCGCAGGTCATGAAAGAATGGAGGCAGCAGATGATGGCCCCATGCTTAGGCCCTAGGTGGGACACCCAGAGGAAGGCCCTGGCTTCCAACATCTAGGTTTTAGCTCTGGATCCTCGCTTCAGCTTAGCTCAGTCCTGACTATTGAGGCCATCTGGGGAGTGAGCCATGAATGGAAGACCTCACTCTAGCTCACTCACTATCTTCTCACTCTCCCATCATTCTTCTGAATAAATAAATCTTTTTTTAAACAGGAAGGAGGGCCCAGCATGATAGCCTAGTGGCTAAATCCTCGTCTTGCATCTGCAAGGATCCGATATTGGTCCTGTGTTTGTCCGGCTGCTCTACTTCCCATCCAGCTCCCTGCTTGTGGCCTGGGAAAGCAGTGGAGGGCAGCCCAAAACCTAGGGAGCATGCACCTACATGGCAAACCTGGAAGAAGTCCCTGGTTCCTGGCTTTGGATCAGTTCAGCTCTGGTCACTGTGGACACTTAAGGAGTGAACCAGCAGATGGAAGATTTTTCTCTCATATCTCCTTCTTTCTGTAAATCTGCCTTCCCAATAAAAATAAAATAAATCTTAAAAAAAAAAACAGGAAGGAAATGTTCTGACACATTTTATGAGACTGTAAGCCTAAAAGCACATTTTGGCATAATGTAAAAATAAACTAAAAACAATTCCAGTATAACAGTGCAAAACATAATGCCATGAATTATTTAGGAAAATTTACTACAAAGACCTTGTTCTAAAGAAGACAAAACATCTCTAAGGTAAAAATGTTGAATACTTAACAAAAAAAAAGATTTAAAAAGAAAGAATTACCATGCTCATGGATTAGAAGATGCAATACTATTAAAATGTCAGTTATTTTCAAATTGATAAACAGATATAATATAATTTCCATTATAATCCCACCAGGTCTTTGCAGAAATTGACAAGCAAATCCAAAATTTCTATGGAAACCCAATGACCTGACATGTAAAACAAAACAAAACAAAAAAGCCAACACTTGAAAAGGCATAAATTTTGAAGATTTACACATTCTGATTTCAAGAGTTAACAGGAATTTCGAGTGGTTAAGACAGTCTGGCACCTGCATGAGGTAGGTCAGAGAAACAGAGCGTGCCCGGAAGAAGACTCCCCCCATGAACCTGGCGGGGCTCAGGCTGCCTGGCCTGGGTCCAGGGGCCCGTCTGTGTGTGTGGGGGGTGCCTGGATCATGAGTCCCAGGGCTGGGGATCCGGTGGGACTCGGGTTGCCTGGCCCAGGCCCTGGGACCCACCTGTGAGTAAAAAAAGCATAGCTGTGGTTGCAGACCCTGATGCCCATGGAAAATATGGTAGCGCATTTGGGACCATCACAGAGGAAGGAGAACAGAGCAAATTAGACAACTCCCCCTGCAGAAAATGACAGCAAAAACCTGGGTGAGTGGAGACCTGTCAACCAGTGGGCACTGGGAGGACTGTGTCACCCTTGGATCAGCAAAATCAACAGCATTGCAGATCTATCCAAACCTCCTGGGCAGAACCCTCGGAACATGCACCATAGTGGGCCCTGGGCTGGTATCGGGTGGCCGTTCACCGTCCCTGGGTACTCCGACATTTGGGGGACTAGGTGTGGCTTCCCCCATTGTCTCGCCACTTCCCTCAGAGACAAGAAGAAATGGAGAATTAGGAGGCAATGATTTCACCCACTATTCCCTGATCCTTGATCCTTCCCACCCCGATCAACCCTGTAATTACCATCAAATAACATTTTTTAAATTAATTTTTTTTAAAAAAGAAGACTCCCCCCCTTACCCATGATGATAGCTCATCTGACTTCCCATGCAGATTCCAAACAAAACAACTCTTTCCAAGAAATAATATTCACACAGGAAACAAAAATGAACTTAGACCCTATTTCACATTATACAAGAAAAGTGAGTCAAGTGAGTCGTGGAGCTGGGACTGTAAGCTACAGCCGCGGAACTTTCAGGAAGTAAACACAAGAAAGTATCTTTGAAAAATAAACAGATTTTCTTGCACTGAGTTTTCTTCGGCAACTTACATAAAGTAAAAATGTGCTAAGGGAAATTCTCAAATGAGACTTCATCAAAATTTAAACCTTTCGTGCATCGAAACACACTACTAATAAGCTTAATAGACAAATCAATCCAGTGGAAAATAATTTTCTGATAAAGGACTAGTATTTCAAGTCCTTACTACACATGTATCCCACACTGCAACAGTAAGAAAGCCCACAAGCCATGCATTTAAACAGCAAGAAGCTTTGAAAAGATCCTTCGTTAAAGATCTATGACTGGCCATCAAGCTGACGAAACAAATGTTCATCAACAGTCACGAGAAAATGCAAATTAAAACCACATTCAGATTCTACCCAAGTCAGACTGCTCCAGATGAAAAATACTGATAGCAGTCGACATTGGCAAGAATGTGAAACAAACGGTGGAAAATAAAAGGAAACGATCATTTTGGAAAACCTCTTGGCAGTTTTGCGTAAAACTAAATTCACCCCACTCTATGAACCAACAATTCCAACTCTAATTATTTACCCAAAACAAATGAATCAGATGGCCACACAAAAAGGCTTCTTCGTGGCTTTTTAGAGCAGTCACACCCAGAGACCGCCCGGGAATCTCCCAGGATGCCCACGGATGCAGGGCTGGTGAGCGGGAATGGACAGACACTTCTCCGTGAGAGAGAGCAGAGCATCGAGGCCCAGCAACATGGCCGGGTGAACCTCCGAAGCGTCCTGCTGGAAAAATGCCATGCAAGACTGCAAACACTGTGGGGCTACACACACGTCCCAGGGGATTCCATTCCAGGGGATGTTTCAGAACACGCAAATGTCATCTAATCACATACAGTTTCAACCCACGCTGGCTTTCAACTGGAAACTTGTGGATGAGGGCAACAACATTCTATATTTTAGCAGGGGTTCAGGTTACCCAGGTGCACGCATTTCCCAAAACTCAGCAAGAGTCAAGTTGAAATTCATACATTTCATTGTGTCAGGACAGAGGTTGCAGGTGAACCTCTATATTGAGATATTCAGGTGGCAATCTACAGACCATCATAACTTACTATGAAACATGACAGATTTATGAGTGAACAGAGGACAGTAAGATATTGATTATAAAATGTGGGTCATGGATACAGGTATTTACCATATAACTCTTCCGACTAAACTGTATGCTAGCAAGTTTCAGGCTAAAATGATAGATGGACAAAGGGATTGAGAAAGAGAAGGTAGATGGATGGAAGGATAGAGGCAGGGAGGGAAGATGGGTGGATGGATGGGCGGGTGGATGTCTGCACAGGTGGACGGATGGGCAGGTGGATGTCTGCACAGGTGGACGGATGTATGGGTGGATAGAAAAGGAGAGAGGGATGGATCAGTGTGTGCGTGGGTGGATGGACAAGTGATGACAGATGAGGAATGGATGGATGAGTAAATGAGTGGATGAAAAAGGTATAAATGAACAAGCACTGGATGAATTTCTATGACCTTGTGAGCAGAAGGGCATGCTGGGAGCTGTGGGAGCCCAGGGGCCCCCAAGGGTGGGACATGCTGAGCAGTAGGCATCCTTAAACACAGGAAGTGAAGGCAAGAAAGTAAGATGCAGGCCTCAGGGTGCATGTGCTGGAGGACAGAGCCAGTGGCATACAGGGAGAGCAGCACGCTGAGTGCAGGGCACGGGCTGGGAGTGCAGAGGAGAGCTGAGAACGCAGCAGAGACCTGACCCCAGGCTGCAGCTCTTCCACTCACAGGGTGGCCACTTCACTAATCCCTGGTGCTGTTCCCTTACTACAGCCCCCACGCACTCCCCATTCTCCAAAGGACCATCGAGCGTGGCCCTATCCATGGTATTTCTCTTCTTCCTAAATGTAAGCTGCAGAATGGGGAAAGACACGCAGGCTCCAACAGCATGCCTGGTGCAGGCTGTGGAATGCGTGGAACCAATTGACGAGGAAGGAAAGGACAGGGGTAGGCAATCCTGTCACCCCCATCTCACCCTGGATGCCCCCACAAGTCACCATGGAGGGTGGGGATCCCTGGTCACCAAGCAGCCATGACTCCAAACCCTGGCATCCACACTGCTGTTTGTGGGGCTGTGTATCCACTGGTCCACCTTTCTGAGTTCCCAAGACTCAGCTTTTCTATCTGTAAAATGGATATAATTCTTGACAACACAAGGACGTATCTGGAATCCCGAGTAGGAACATTCCAAACAACCAGGCTCACGTGGCTGGGAGAACAGTTGGGAACAGTCAGTTGTTTTGTTTTGTTTTGTTTTGTTTTGTTTTGTTTTGTTTTGTTTTGTTTCCATTTTGCACATCTAGATTGTCCAGGAAGAAAGGGGCATTAGAAACCTTGAAGTAATTACCATTGTAATTTACCTAAACCGGGACTGCCTATGGTAACTCAATTTCCAGAATAAAATTATACCAGAGCCAAAGGAAACCATGTAGACTTCCTTCTCAGTACCAATTTGTCAAACTGAACTCTTGCTGGGGAATAGCAAACTCCCCCAGTGCAAACCACCCCCCTACACACACACACAAGTCCACCAAGCCCAGGGGTCTGGAAAATTTCATCCTTACCTTCCCAAAACTTCCTTTGCCGATGGCCCGCAGAATCTGGAAATGGTCAAAGTTGACTGCAACAGAGAAAAGGACACAGGTCAGATTCCCCCAGTCTCACGTCACCTTTGGACACAGACCACCCGTTTGGCCCAGCATCCTCACACTTGCCCTGGCAGTGACTCCACTGGGGCAACGGGGCTGAATCAGCAGTCCCACCCCAGCCCCCCACACACTCTGCCCATCTTGCACCTTCCATTCCTGCCACTTCAGCTTCCTTGCTCTCTGCCCACGTGTGCCTAACCTCCGCCTCCCTGCCTCCCACCCAAAGCCACAAACCCACAGCCATGTAACTCCTTGAGTTCCTTTATGCCCCAGCCTTGCCTCCTGGTGCCAACCCTGCACCCTGTGGCTTCTCTCTTCCATGGGCTCCACAAGCTCCGGCTGTACCTGCTCTCCATGGCATCATGGGCTCTGAGATGCAGCACTGCCTACCACACACTTTCCCTTGGGTATTTCAAAGCCACCTTGAAGTCAATAGGTTCACACCACAGCTCTGGTTCAGCGGTGTCACCATTGTGTCTGACCACACAAGCTCAAAGCCAGGCATGCAGCCTCTACCCTGCCTTTCCCACACCATTCCTGGCCCTTCACAGCTTGACCCATTTTGCCTCTTTGCCATGTCGCACTGCTGTCCACCGCAGGACCATCGCAGCCACCTAACCCCACCTGCTGCTCATGTCCTAGACCACTCCAGTAGCCTTTCAACATCCTCCTCTCCTGGCTCTCCCACCAGGGGTGGCAAGCAGAGTGACTGTCCTTGCCCCCAAGAGGACTCCTCTCCCCAGCCCCTCCACAGTTCTCAGTACGAACAGCTAAGTCTCCCCAGGCTGCCTCAGGTCCCACCAAACTACCCCACATCCACCCAGCGCAGACACACCGATCGACTCTGCACCGCAGTGATCCTTGCTCCCTGGGTCCAGCATAGTCTTCTCAGGGCCTCACACTGAGTCCCCTGCAGCTGGAGAAAGGTCTGGCCCAGCCCCAAGCCTCCACTGTCCAGTGTGCCATGGGTGGCACTGAGCTCTAAGTTCCCTAGTGTTAAGGGCCTTGCCAGCCCTCCGGCAGGAGGGATGAGGGGATGTACGACCCCCCCGGCAACCAGCACCATGCTCGGTACAGTCTTTAGTTGAGGAACATTCACGGAAGGAAGGGACAATGGATGTACCATGGTGATGGTGTCCCATAACACTCCTGCAGCAGGGCCAGGGAGGGGAATAAACAGGACATCGGAGCGGGGCTAAGTGCCAGGCACGTCCCATCGCTATGGAAAAGGCTGCGTTAACAAAGATGCACTGGACTGAGGAGCTCAATCCTGGGTGGAGCTCAGTGAGCACAACTGGTGCTCCATTGGTCATCCAATGCGTGATGGACGGTCCCTGGGAGGAGCTCGTGTCCCCGCCATGCCAATATCAGTGGCCAGCGGGTGACCATACACCTCAGGTGCTGAGAGCAGAAAGGCCGGGTTAACAGGTAACCAGGCCAAGCCTGGGTTCTGACCAAGACTGGTCCCTGTCTTCCAGGAAAGAGGCAAAATCCCTGAAGGTCAGGAAATCAATGAGCTTAATCTGCAGAGCCCCAGGGATGTGGTGCTGCCCCAAGAAGTGCAGGGACCCTGGGGTCCCACCATCTAGGCAGCCACAGCACCCGTCTCCCAGGCCACTCCCCTACTACGCTCTTACCTTCCACACCCAGCATGTGGGCTTGCTACCTGGTGATGCTACCCACCCGTGTGACCCCTCAATAACTCACATCCTCCCAGGGCTGCCTTCTGCAGGCTCCCAGGCAACGCTCAGCAGGGCCCCGCACCGAAGCTGGACCACCAGCCCTGTAGCCCTGGCTCCACTCCGCTGGCTGGTGCACTTGGGTCTTGCGGGGCCTCCCTTCCGTAGAATGACACCTGACATCCTGTTGGCCTTGGAGAGTGAACAGCAGACAACTCCCTCTCCTCTGCATGACCTAACTGCAGGCCTGGACAAGAACTGTCCACACCTATGTGTGGACACTCACCCTGGCCTTCCTCTGGATTCTGTCTCCAGGCAGCAAGCTTCCCCCCTGCCCAATGATGCCAAAAGTCAGGCTGGGCCATGCGGTGGGGCCTGTGGCCAGGGGGTCAGTCCGGCCGATTCTGGGCTCCTACACCTAGCCAGGGGAATGCGTGGCCACTGCTCTCCTGAGAGCATCGCTGGCCCCAGGTGTGTCCCCTCAGGAGGCAAAACCCCACCCCCTCTCCTTAGCTCCTCCCAGGGGCAGCTGTTCATCAACAGCTACTGCTGCTATTTAATAGTCACAGTGCTTGAGCAATTCCCATCCACCCGTGTCCCCTTCCCCATCTCTGGGGGTTCCTTGGCAGGGGGTCTCGCAGGAGGCACCTGCTAAAAGGCACCTGATGACAGTGACAGAGGCGTACTGCCTCGCTGAATCTCCCTGGGACCCAGGTTTTGAGCATACGGGCTGCTCCTGCCAGTGATGCAGTATCTCCCTGGGACCCAGTATGCCGTGCTTGATGTGACCATGCCTGAAACAGCTGGGACACGTGCATGGTCACACACCCAAACAGGAATGGCTTCGTCACAAAGAACACCAGCCCACATGCCTGCACAATCCTCATTCGTGAGAGGCCTTGGCTGAAAGGGCCTGAGCGCGGGTTTCCCGGGGCGACCATCCTGTCCCAGCTTGCCTGGGTCTCTCATAGCAGTATCTAGAGGGTCCTGCAGCCCTGACAGCCACCCAGAGCCCTCCTGGCAAAAGCGAGAACAGCAGGTGGCACAGTTGCCAGATTGTTAACCTGTTTCCCTCCATATGAAGCCACGGGCCCTGCTAGAGTGTGAGGTGAGTGATAGATGGTGAGCCGTGGAACTGACAAAGTGCTGTCTTTTTGAACAAACCCCAACCAGTGTCTATACATGTGAGGGAAAAAGCCTTGAAAATCAGCCAAAAAAGTCGCTGTGGGTGTTAGCCGCTGGTCAAAAGTGGAGCCAGGGCACACCAGCAGGGTGATCCCAAAAATAGGGTGTGTGCACCTGCCTGAGGCGCTGTTGGAATGATGCCTAAGGGCTGTGACTTCCTCACCCAACAAGGGGGTTATCAGGTCGTCCAACCTCAGTTCTCGGGGTTCTCGCTTCTTTCTTAATAAGGATGCCCCAGCCCTGTTGGGTCTCCATGTGGCCAGCTCCATGCAGGGAGTCTCCCCAGAGGCACATCAAACTGGAGTGGTCCTTCACTCCGCCCACTTCTTTCTGCTTTCAGTGTGAGCACCATGTCCGGAACCACAGCAGTCACCCATGTGTGGGAAGCAACAAACAGCAGCGGCAGCAGGATAAGCTGGCTACAGACGTCCTCACTTCCTACTGGGAGCTACTGGAGCCATGCCAGCAGCCACCCACCTCTGGATCTGCCAGCAAAAGACCCACCTGCTTAAAGACTCAGGTGAGCCACTGCCGAAGCCAGAGACACTCCTCCACACTCACAAAGCGAGGAAACACGGCCAGAGCTCAGGAGAAGCCAGCCTGGCTACCACTGCACCCAAGGGCAAGAGTCCTCAGAGGCACGGACACGGGAGCCAAGGAGGGTGGCCTGCACCTGAATTCTACCACTCGGCAGCCCAGTGGCCTGGGGGAAGCCACGTGGCCTTGTGGTGCTTTGGCCTAATGCTTAGGTGATGGGCTCAGCCAGGTACCTGCTACACAGGTAAATAGCAGGTACAAGACCACAGCTGCTGAGGACAGCAGCAGGCATGTGCTGGTGGCCATATGGGTGAGGGTTACTGTTCGGCAGGAGTGCCTTTCACTCACCTGTCACAAGGCTGCTCTGGCTAACCCCACTGACCACCCCCTGGAGTGACTCTGGAAGTGCCCCAGTGCCCATCCATCATGGCCAGAGCTGTCCCCTGGGAGCTCTGGCTGTTTCTCCCTGAAGCAGAAGCAGGCCAATGGGCTTGTATTCCCTGCACCACACTGTGTCTCGTGGACTGCCAGGTGCATACTCTGCATGAAAAATCAGGAGCAGTTCGTCCCCAGAGTCAAGCGTATCTACAAGACGGCTACCTGCTTCTGCAAACAGCCAACTTCCTGTCCAAAACCACATGTTGAAACCGCTATTCCTCAAGAAAGGGTGGCAAAGTCTCAGCCGTTTACTGTCCCCAGACAGCAAAGTCGGGAGTTCCCTCCTCCTTGGGCCATAGCTTGCACACACCTGGGCTGTGTGTGTGTGTGTGCATGTGTGTGCATGTGCACATGGCATGTTTTTAGTTTGGTGGGCCTGAGGTTTACCATGTTCTCAAGTGAGTCAATGGTTGCTGTTGGGAGATTTCACCCCCCACCCAGTTCTGCTTTCTGACACTTAGGATGTCAACTGTGGGAAGGCCAGCATTTCTGCCTGCTTTGTCCACCTAGAGCAGCCCCTGGAATACAGTGAGTGCTCAATAAATATTTGTGGGCTGAACAAATGAGTCTGCTGAGAATTAAAAAGGGAGAAGCCCAAGCAAGGCTGGCTGTACACATTAGCAGCGACAGTGGCTGCTACTGCCAGGGGGTCGGGGATGGTGAAGGAAGTGGTCAGCCCTTGACATCTCAGCCACCTCTGAGGGATGGGAGGAGACACGTGGGAGGAAGGTCGGGCAGCCAATGGACACCCTCTGGGGGTGGGAGGGGACATGCAGGAGGAGGGTCAGGTGGCTAAGAAGGGAATCTGTCAACTCCCCTCAACTTTATGCTCACACATGACAAGATTATGGTTGAGGTTATCCCTGCAAATAGACAAAAGTATTGAGAGTAAACAGGCGAGAAGAGGTCGATTATTCTGCCAAAAGCTAGAAGGTTGAAACACAAGAGTCTTATCCAATCAGACATAGAAATATGGAGTTTATTATCCACTCAAAAAGTGTCATTGCATGGGACAAAGCACCTACAATGAACAAAAGACACTAACTTCCACTGAAATATTCTATTGGGAAGCCAAGTCCCCAGAATATCCATTGAAATCCAGGAGGCTTGGAGGAAAGAAAAGGGTTTTGGAG